ATGGAGCTACGCTATTGGTGGGAATGTAGTGACGAGAAAACAAGAATAAATAAGTTGAATGAAGAGCGTTCGTTGATATCGTTCGGATTAAGAGTGCCGATTTGAAAGAGAAATTTTGTTCAAGAGTTTTGCAGCTTTCCGAACAGCATAGATGTAAGGAAACGCCGCAGAGCCATGTGCTGCATAGAATGACAAGAGAGATTAAAGTGTATGGAAACTGGTTTGCATGCGTCCTTGTCATTACTTTCTAAGTCGCGAAGGTGTTCTCGGAGTAAGTCACCTAGGCATCTTTCTGTTTCACCAATTCATCTCTTTTTGCAATAAGTGCACGTTCTACAATAGATAACATTAGCGGGGGTGCACGTGAAATGATCAGTAATCTTAATGGATCGTTTGGCTCCCGAGATAATTTTTATATCTGCCAACATTTATTAGTATACTGCTGCCAGTGTTTTTAGGTTATGAAATGAAATCATAAAAAAAAAACGGGGCCAGCAATCACTTCACGATCAAAAGCGATATTGCATTTGGCTGATTTATAATTCTCTTTTCATAAGGTAGTGACAAGAGGTGGGTGGTTGGAGAGGGAAAGGGGGGTGGGGTGGGAGGAGAATAAAATGACAATGCTATTTCTTTTCATATAAGAAGTATGAATGGCACATCTAACAGAAGAACTTGACAGGTGGGAGGGGAGGCATGAAAGTAGTGGGGAGGGGGTTGGGGGGACGAGAATCAAAAAGAGGATGCCTTTTTTTTTGTATATAAGAAGTATGAATGGCACCTCTAACAGAAGAACTTGTCAGGTGGGAGGGGAGGCACAGTGTGCTATACTTTTGTTTAAATGATAAAACATTATCATTTCCTGGTATCTAGGCGCCAAACCTTATTTAGAAAATTGCCATCAAACTTACCCTCGTTTGATTTTCGTTCGGCCACCTTAACCTCGGACGTCATCAGTATAACTGCGGTGCACTGCAAATACCTTGCATTTGACGACTTGTTTTAGGTTTGCATAGAAACGAACGTGGTTTAGCCATAACTAAATCTGAGGTGTAATTCAAATCATCCAACTGTAAACCTTATAACAATTCCCTTTGGTTCGGATTTTGCGTTGATAGAATGAACTACTTGAGATCGAGGTTCGTCGACATGACATGATTTGCGCGCTCAATTGGACACGCATATCATCTGTAGACAGTCTAGACATGCTGTGATACGCTTCAAACAGACGCCCCTTTTTGTTTATTTTACTCAATAATTTAACCTTTACACCCTAATATCAGTATGCATATTCTCCATGCTGCTCTCTATACATTTTTCAAGGTGCTGATAAGGAGAATTTGTTTAACAATCAAGAGTTTTTTAAATGATGATCACTTCCTTTATTCTCATGACCTTAGTGTTTGATTCATAGGTGATATTGTAAGGAGAAATTTGATGCTAATCACTCCAAGGGGTTAAAGGGTAAAGGTTTCTTTTCCAAAATCCCCACCCCCCACCCCAAGGGATCGAACTCTCATCTTAGAAGAGCAGTGTTACTCGTATACATTATCGTGTTGCATAGGAGCGCAGAATCCGAGGGAGGAGTTATCCGGAGGAAGTAGGATTTATTAGAATGGAAGGGATGAAATTATTGCCTTGTCTTGTAGTATTTTCATTAAACCCTTACCGTGTATAACTTCTAAAATGCTGTTGTGTAATTAAAGTGAAGGAAGTTGTGCTCTAACAACAGAATATTTTAAAGACCTTCAGACAAGCAACAATTGGGGGATCAGGATATATTTGCACCAGGTTATTGTTGTCTGAAATAAGGTGCCAGTGTTTCATAAGAATCTTTTTGACATTCTGGTTAGCAGGGTTGAAAGTCCTAACGAACGGGAAAATCTTTTTAGATGATTTCGGTTTGTTTCTCATAGCCATGTTGCGTGATGAGAACTGGGCATCGGCAAACACCTTTTGGACGAGGTCCTGAGGGTAGCCTCGTTCTATAAGGCGAGATAAAAATTATTTCTTCTTTAACTCAAAAGATTCTTTAACCGAATTTGTTCTCAGTAAGCGTAGTGCCTCTCATTTTACAAAACCCTTCTTAACCGTTTAGCCCCTAAGAGTGACTAGTATCTAATTTCTCATTACAATATTACCCTTTAGTCACGTACTAAGGTCATGAGAATTATGAAAATGATCAACAACCACAGAAGCTCTTGATCATTAAGCTAATTCTCCTTTGTCAGCACCTTAGGAAATGTATAGAGAACAGTGTGGAGAATATGCATACTGATGTTAGGGTGTATAGAGAACAGTGTGGAGAGTTTGCATACTGATGTTAGGGTGTATAGAGAACAGTGTGGAGAGTATGCATACTGATGTTAGGGTGTAAAGAGAACAGTGTGGAGAGTATGCATACTGATGTTAGGGTGTAAAGAGAACAGTGTGGAGAGTATGCATACTGATGTTAGGGTGTATAGAGAACAGTGTGGAGAGTATGCATACTGATGTTAGGGTGTATAGAGAACAGTGTGGAGAGTATGCATACTGATGTTAGGGTGTATAGAGAACAGTGTGGAGAGTATGCATACTGATGTTAGGGTGTATAGAGAACAGTGTGGAGAGTATGCATACTGATGTTAGGGTGTATAGAGAACAGTGTGGAGAGTATGCATACTGATGTTAGGGTGTATGTGCATACTGATGTTAGGGTGTATAGAGAACAGTGTGGAGAGTTTGCATACTGATGTTAGGGTGTAAAGAGAATGCACTGATGTAGGGTAAGAGAACAGTGTGGAGAGTATGCATACTGATGTTAGGGTGTATAGAGAACAGTGTGGAGAGTTTGCATACTGATGTTAGAGTGTATAGAGAACAGTGTGGAGAGTATGCATACTGATGTTAGGGTGTAAAGAGAACAGTGTGGAGAGTATGCATACTGATGTTAGGGTGTAAAGAGAACAGTGTGGAGAGTTTGCATACTGATGTTAGGGTGTATAGAGAACAGTGTGGAGAGTTTGCATACTGATGTTAGGGTGTAAAGGGTTAACACTGAGAAGGTGGCGTGAAGATAACTGTGTGTATCTTGGAACGTTTCTGTCGGCTTGTAATATGTTTAAACATCAACGATTTTGCTATCGGTAAATCTCGGTCCTTTAAACACTTCAGTATCGAGGAAAACAATTTTTTTTTGATGACTGTTCATTCATGAATCTAAAGGTGGCGCGGAATGAGTTAGCAAAATCAATGAAGTTGTTGATTTCGGTTTCGGGAATGGTCCGCGCATAAAAAATGTCATCAATGTATCTTTTCCAGAGAAATGGTCTATGTAGCTTGTAGCTAGTTTGTAGCTGTTTCTCAGTAAGAGCCATGAATATGACTGCAAAAGCTACCGTTATTTTTTTTCCCAAAGCTATTGCGAGTGTTTGAAAATAGTTTTTGTGGTTGAATTTGAAAGAGTTTTCTTTATGAATCAGTCATTTAAGGTCTCTCAAAACTGTTGTTGGGATTGAAGGTTTGACTGATAATGCTCTTCGTACAGTTTTGACAGACGACTTTAATTCCTTCTTCCTTCCTTTAAACCCTCCATACAAGAACAAAAAAGAATTTCTTTGTTTTTGCGCGCCGTGTCTCCATGTAGGCAATTGTGTTCCGCAGGTTGTTGAAACTCGCTTCCGTCTAAGACGCTTAGGGGTTGGTTTTTACAAAGGCATGTCGCGGTCGTTTGGTAACTCTTAGTACTTTTTGGAAGCTAGTTTTGACGAAAGCAAGTCGTCGTTTAATTCTGCACTGGCTCGTTTAGTGTGTGCCTTCACAATGGAACGTTTGGAGGCTGACTGTTTTTCTGGGGAGATTTAATTGGTGAGATCAGCAGCGTTTGGCTGTCTCTTATTTTAGCGAGTATAGCACTGACTTTTCTGTCTCCAATAGAGGCCATGAGGTTCTTAGAAGAACTGTTAAAGATAGCAAAACCGGTTTCGAAAAACGCACAGTGGCTTCCTCTGTCTGTTGCTTTCTAGGTGCTCGTGTGAATGTGAGCAAGCCAGTGAAGGGGGAGAGAGAACCTTTAACGGAGGCAGGTCTCGTAAAGGAAGAGTATCAAAAGCTTTCTTACGTTATTGCAAACTTACTCAGTATTAAGTTCACCGTTTTTGTAAAACGCCAAACATACCACCTCAATTAAAAAAAAACATAAATTTTTCCGTTTAATCTGTTCCCATCACCATTTTGCGTCTTTGTCGAGCGGCACTAACAGAGCTGACTCGAGATATTAATTTGTGAAACCAAAGATTAAATGTCCAATCTGTGAACTAATCTGAGTTCGGATACACCACGGCGACTTACTCCAAAAAGGTTAAAACCGGTGGTGCATGCTACATAAGCTGGGTTCTCAAGTGGGAAATTTAACCTCCTACTCTATCTCTCGATCCAGGTCTCTACATGTAATTCGTCTGGAACTTAACTTGACAAACCTGAACAACTTAAACGAGGATGAAAAATTTTTGAAATGATCGGTACAGTGTAATGGCGGACAGTTAAAACGAAAAATTGTTGCTTATTGAAAAAAAAAAAACAAGAAAACCATCTCTTTTTGGGCAGTACTTAGAAGGGTGTGATTTCATCAAAAATTAAATCAGAATCGGGTGAACGGGAAGACATTTTTCTCTTTTTTCTTACCTCGAGAAACTTTAACTAAACGTTCTTGTCCGAAAGCTTCCTTAGACCCACAGTTGCCTCTCGGAAGATTACCCTCCACCCCTCCCCCGACCCCAAGTCTTACTTGTCACCACTCGAGTGGTCTACACACACAAACCAAGTACAGTAAACAATGTCGCCAGTAAAAAAAAACCTTTATTACAAAATATTTGCGGTTCTATTTACATTAAGCGGTGTTTTTCACTCTGGTGATTAAAAATACTTCGTCTACCTGGTAAGTCTCTTTGACCCAAAATTAAGATTTGACTCGCAACTATTTATTTTGTTTAAACATAAAAATCTACAAAAAATTGATGAAACTATATAAAATCTAACAACTCCTCAAAAGACAGGTTTAAAGCTGGTCGGTGTCTCTGAGTGATAGCTTTAAGAATTGCGCGATATTCAGAACTAGTACACGAAGCCAGATTTAGTGTGGTTAACTTAAAGCTTGGATGCTGTAAAGCTTCACATAGACTGGCAACACTGGTATCAGTGATAAAACCCTGCAGATTTAGTGTGGTTAGCTTACAGCTTGGATGCTGTAAAGCTTCACATAGACTGGCAACACTGGTATCAGTGATTAAACCCCGCAGATTTAGTGTGGTTAGCTTACAGCTTGGATGCTGTAAAGCTTCACATAGACTGGCAACACTGGTATCAGTAATAAAACTACCCGGCAGATTTAGTGTGGTTAGCTTACAGCTTGGATGCTGTAAAGCTTCACATAGACTGGCAACACCGGTATCAGTGATAGAACTATCCAGCAGATTTAGTGTGGTTAGCTTACAGCTTGGATGCTGTAAAGCTTCACATAGACTGGCAACACCGGTATCGGAGATAGAACTACCCATCAGATTTAGTGTGGTTAGCTTACAGCTTGGATGCTGTAAAGCTTCACATAGACTGGCAACACTGGTATAAGTGATAGAACTACCCAGCAGACTTAGTGTGGTTAGCTTACAGCTTGGATGCTGTAAAGCTTCACATAGACTGGCCACACCGGTATCAGTGATCTTAGTGTGCACTAGATTTAATTTGGTTAACTTCCTTACTACTAATCTATTAATAACATCAACACATTCATCAGTCAAGTAAATTCTGAATAAGTCCAGTTCAGAAACAAGACAGTGTTCATTGTTCAGTGAATTACAGACTCGTTGTATTCCAGACAGTGTTAGCTGTGATGCGCAAAGTTGTAACTTCTTAACTGTGACGAACTTATCAGAACATTTGTGTTGTGCCTCTCCAGCTTCCTCTTTATTTAGTTCACTAATAATGTCCAACACAAATGATACTCCAATGCAGTCCACATCTGATAAACCCTCAAAAGCCATGACGCCGTCTGAATTACAAAAGGCTTGCGGATTATTCCTGATGAAGTTTTTGGCAAATTCTTTGTTTTGATACTCAGTCAGACACGTCATTTTAAGACTGGAATCTACGAGGCGTGAATCTAATAGTTTTTCCATTAGTTCCTCGTTTCCCTCACTCGATAAAACGCCGGCCATGAATTGGAAAACCATATTAGAGCATTTCGCATCTGGAACACAATTTTCCTTTACAAACCAACGAGCGGCCAAGAATTCTTGGACGGTCAGATGTGTGAAGCTAAAGTGTTTCGTGGTTGTAATCGGTGCAGTCCTGAAAGGCTGACCACAGTAAAGAAGACCGCTACCTTTCAGTTTGTTGACTTCTTCCGCTTCAAAATCGCCTTCCATCTCGCTTTCATCAAAAGTTGGCTTTCCTTCAACCAGCAGTTTAGCCGCTAGTTCTGATAATTTCTCTAATGTGTTCTTGATGACAGGAGGGGGCTTGAATTGCTCAGGAATTTCTTTCTGTCTGTATTCTGACTCGGCGCAGTGCTTAAGTTCAAATATATCAACAAGTTTGGTGTAAATGTCGGTTGTTGAGACAGGAAGGTCTTGAGGATTTTCTGATTCGGTTAGGGTATACTCCATCTCGAAGCACAACAGA